CACTGAGCAGGGAGCCTGATGCGGGGCTCGATCCCAGGACCCTGGGATCATGACCTGAGCCGAAGGCAGACGCTTAACTGACTGAGCCACCCAGGCGTCCCTCACAGGTGGGTTTTTTTTCAATTTGGAAGACCCATGGAGGCCCCTAGGACCCCGAAAAGGTACAATCCAGCCTGTCCAAGGCTTGAATCAGGGTGTCACCGGAGCTCTTTTCCTTATTCCATTGCTTCCCAGGGCCTGAGAGAGTCCTTGGCGGTGCTGGAAAGGGCTTCAGTCCGCCTCCACTCCTGAGCAGCCTGTGACCATTAACTTCTTCACCCCCCACCCCCGGCCCAGGGCGCTCCCCTGGGGCGCCGGGTCACGTGCCAGGCAAGGGGTTTATCACTGGGGCCCCTGGATCCCCAGCAGAGCCTCGAACCTGAACCTTGATGCCCAGGCCCATGGCCACAGCCTTCGTGCTCCTCGTGGGGGTCCTGCTCCCTTGCTGGGGCGAGTTCCTGCCCTTTAAAAAGAGGTTCATGAAGGTGAGCCCAAAGAGCATTTCGAACCTTCCACTGTAGTCGAGGGTGGTGGCCCTGGCATCATAGAGCAGCCAGGAGGCACCAGTTGGGTTTGGAGAGCAAATAAGGGGTGGGTGTGGATACCATCCCCAAATGGGGACTGGTTCCCAGGGCTGGAAGCTTAATGTGTCCCCCCTAAAGGGCTTCAAAACCCTGCTTCACCTCCCTGGTGGCCCTGCAGGTAAAAGAAAGTGGTCTTATGACCAGCACCATGCCCTCCCCGCTCAGCCAACGCCCCCCCCACCGCTGTCTCAGACCTGGCCCCCCAGCCGTGCCTTACCCACCCTAATCCCCTCTCCCCCCTCCCCTGAGCACAATCACTGTTCCTTCCCTTCCCCATCTCTCTCGCCCTCCCTTTCTTTCCACCCACCCCACCAAAGTGTGATCTGGGAGCATTTGTCCCCTAGCCCAGGTTGGCGGGGGGCGGGGGGCGCCCAGGGAAGGAAGTACTAACCCCCCCTCCTCTCCTGCTCCTCTGGGGCGGGTGCAGGCCCTGGTGGGTCACCATCTCGTGGCTTCTCTTCCTGGACCCCTGGGGCCTTGGCGATACCACGCATCCTCCCTCCCCTTCCCACACAGCCAGAGAGCTGGTGACACGAGAGTTGTCCCCACAGGTGAATGGGGCTGAGTGCTCCCACCACTCTGAGTGTTCCAGTGACTGCTGCCTAATAGACCTGGACCGTGCTGGTGCCTTCTGTGCCCCTAAGGCCAGAATCGCCATGCTGTGCTTGTTCCAGGTGAGGCTCTGGGCGGGGCGGCCAACTCTGCCATGAAGGGTCGGGGAGGTTACAGAAGCCCACGTGGCTGCCCTGCTTTCCCACCCTCTGCTTGGAGTGCCCTCAGCCCTTCCTCTACCCGGCCAGCTCCTATTCGTCCCGCAGTCCAACTCCAGTCACCTCCTCGGGGAAGCCTTCTCTCCTCGGAGCTCCCCTGAGCTCATACCCTCAGCGCAGCGTGGATCTCCCCCCAGTTCGCCTTGTGTTCTGTCTGCCTCCACCACCGGCTGGAGCTCTTCCAGGGCGGGCTTGCAGCATGTTCATCTTTGAACACCCTACCTCCCAACTTAGTATCTGCACATAGTAGGTGTTCAACGAATGTTTGTTGAATGAACATCTCTACTCTGATGCATTGAGGCAAAGTAGATGGGAAGAGACTTTTCCCTACCAATCCCCACCTCCCTCATTTTTTGAGAGGAGCACGGCGCTGTGGTGGCTGGACCATAGCTTTGGAGTGGGACCTGAGTTTGGCTTATTTATTTATTTTAAGATTTTATTTATTTATTTATTTGACAGAGAGAGAGGGAGAGCAAGTGTGAGAGCACAAGCAGGGGGAACGGCAGGCAGAAGGAGAGAGAGAAGCAGGGTCCCCGCTGAGCAGGGAGCCTGATGCGGGGCTCGATCCCAGGAAGCTGGGATCGTGACCCGAGCTGAAGGCCGACGCTTAACGACTGAGCCACGCAGGTGCCCCTGGATCTGAGTTTTCCACTCCCTGTCTTTGTGACCTCAGCCAGGTCACTTCTGCTCTCTGAGCCTTAGGTTCCTCATCTGTAAAATGGGGCTAAAGCGACAACCTCACCGGGTTGTCCTGGCAACGACAGTGTTCATCCAAGCTTGGTTATGAGCCGGCAGAGATGCAGAACGCAGCGTACATGTTGTTACTGCTTGTCATTTCTTATCTGGCCCTGGGCCCAGACCTTTCTAGAAGAATGGGCTCGGCCTCCATGTCCCTGTCTGGGGAGCAGCCAATGCCCAGGGAAGCAACCAGTCCCCTGACTCTACAGCTGGGGTGGCCAGAGGCTCTTTTCATTATGGGCCCTTGCTCTATTTTATTTAGTCCTCATGGTCACCCTGTGGGGCAGGTTACTACTATTATCCCCATTCGACAGATGAGGAAACTGGAACCAAGAAGCTCATTAACCTGCCTAAGGTCATAAAGCTATCTGCTGTAGAGCTGACAGACCTCAGGTCGGCTCACCCCTTCACTCGTGCTTCTGTCCCCGAGACAACCCCTTTGTTCCCTGCACCTCGGTCCCTCCCAACTCTTGTTCGCATTTCCCACAGACCAAGGGAGCCATCAACATCATATGCCCCTGCCAAAGCGGCTTGAGCTGCATATCCAAGGACCCAGTCTGTTCCCGCAGGTGCCATTTGATTTAGAGGCGGACACAGGCTGGTTGCGGACCCCCTTCCCTCCCTCGGGGCCAGGGGCCCGAAGAGCCCCCATCTTGCTCACAGTCCAGCTCCTGAGACATTAAAGTCACTTCCTGACTCTGGCCTCTGTCTGCACTTCCTGGGAGAGGGAACCTAGTAGGGATTATTCCAGTCTGGGGGCGGGAAAGTTCAGTTCTATCTGGAGGTGGGGTGGTCTCAGGGCGGAACTGCAGGAAGGGAACGGGGTAGAGGTAGGTGAGCGAAGAGGCTGGGTCCAGGAGGGGCATGGAGGGCTGTATGGGAAAGGCAGGGTTGAGGTATATGGTGGGGTGCCCATGGATAAGTATGTGGTAGAAAGGACTGGAAGGGAATATTGAAATGCTTTCCAAGGGGAGCACAAGGGTGGAGATCATTGAGAGAATGTTGATGAGAATGTGTGCAAAGTATAAATGCAAAAATGTTCATGCCTATGGTAGGAAAGACCTGGTGCACTGAGGTCTCCACTCTCTCAGATATTATCAGTTCCATTTTATGCGTAAAGAAACTGAGGCTCAGAGAGCTACATGACTCTCAAGGTCACACCATGGGGGAATCAATGAGGAGTCTTTCTGCTGCAAGTATCCAAAACAACCCAAACTGGTCTAGATGATCAGGAAATTCATCGGTGGTCAGAACTGGGAGTTCAATGGCAGGTGGGCCTCAGGTCTGGCTGAATCCAGCAGCTCCATGGCCCTGAGGATGGATTCCTTCTCAGTAGCTACAAAAGTTCCAGGTGTCTCCTAACAATAACACCTAGGATTTCTTGAGCCCTTACGTTCCACACACTGTGCAAAGTGCTTTCTTAGCTATATTAACTCATTTTATTGTTACAACAACTTTAGAGTAGGTACTATAATTATCCCTATTTTACAAATAGGGGGGCGCCTGGCTGTCTCAGTCAGAAGAGCATACGACTCTTCATCTCAGGGTCATGAGATGGAGCCCCATGTTGGGTGTAAAGATCACTAAAAGAAATAAATAAATAAACCTATTTTACAAATAGGGTGTTGAGTACCCTTCTCAGGGGTTCAGAGTAAGGGATGGGGCTGGGATTTGAACCCAGGCTGTCTTGCTCCAGAGGGCAGGCTCTTAATCACAGATCCACCTCACATGCACATCACATCTTCCAGAGAAAGGAAACAGCTCTGTCCCACACTTTCGCAGCAAACCACCTGAGATTGATTCTGACTGGATTGGCTCAGTCCGCATGTTCACCCTTGAACCAATCGTTGTGGGAGAATTAGCTGATAGGCTTCACCTGGGTCGCATGCGGGGGTGGAGTCAGCCTCCCTGGGAATATTCTGATGGGGGTGGGTGCTGGTTTTACCTGGTGTCCCCACAGCTGAGAGGGCACCTACTCGGAGCCCCACCCCCGTTCCTGGCAGATCCTGATAAAGATGCCTGGCCTCAGCTCTGGATGTCTGGACCCACTCACTGGGGTCAGACTGGAACCCTGGGACCCTGCCTTGCCCCCAAGTTCAGTTTGTCCTGGGAGCCACCCTGCCCCGGACGCGCTCGCCGCCTATCATTTGACATAAGGACAGTGTAGCTCAGAGAGCCTTTGCCTCACACAGAAATCAGGACTTGCTTTTTCCTATATTATTTTATCTCCATCATTTCCCCCATGTCACTGAAGTCTTCTTTAAAACATTAATACTGCCTAATTTTATTGTATTATGTGGACCATATCTTGCTCAACCGTTTCTCTCTGGGTAGATATGAAGATCATTTCCAAATCCAAACCAATCATTTAGGATACAAGTTTCTGGCTAAGGAAACAAAACCCTGCTGAAATGATAGCTCAAGCAAGGTAGATGATTTCTCCCACACGTGCTGGTGGATGAAGGCTCTGCTGGGTGAGGTTGTCCTTGAGTCCACTGCCTTCTATCTTCCTGCTCCACCATCTGCTGCTCTCCTCCCTTCCTCCCCCTTTTCCCCCTCTTCCTCTCCTTTCTCCTCCCTCCTCCCCCTCCCCTTTGTTTCTTTCTTTGTTGACTTATAGGAGTTAATATGCAAAATCAGAGGCATTGTTTTTCTGCATCTGGACATTCAAATATTAACATGTTCCTCACATGGAGGTTTTAGAGGAATAATCTTAATGCTGAAAAGGCAAAACTCCTGGCCACCTTCATATAACCACATCTTTTCCCTCCCATCTGATCAGCCTTTTCTCTGCCCAGACACGGGCTCTCATCCTCTCTCTCAGAAGCCTTATTTCTGGGGCACCTGGGTGGCTCAGTCGTTAAGTGTCTACCTTCGGCTCAGGTCATGATCCCAGAGTCCTGGGATCGAGCCCCGCATCGGGCTCTCTGCTCGGCCTGGAGCCTGCTTCTCCCTCTCCCACTCCCCCTGCTTGTGTTCCCTCTCTAGCTGTCTCTCTCTCTCTCTGTCAAATAAATAAAATAAAATCTTTAAAAAAAAAAAAAAAGCCTTTTTTCTAAGGTGAGGTCTTTACCCCACATAGTTTCCTTCTTTTTTTTTTTTTTTTTTTTCCAATACAAGGCAAGAGACAATGCTATGAATTCAAGTCCCATTTCATTTTCTTCATCCTTGGCACCAGAAGGATTGCTTTCCTGCAGGTTGCTTGGGCTGTATGAACATTTCTAGCCAGTGAAGTGACAGGTGTAACTTCTGGGCCAAAGCAGAGAAGCCCAAGCGTGACACAAGAAAAAGGAAGATTCCGTTTTGATGACTGGCCAGTGACAGTTTTCTAGCCCCTTGGCCACATCCAGGCAAGCCGATCGAAAAGCACATGCCCCCTCCCTTGGCGCTGCTGGGCAGTGCAGACCACACAACCCCCGGCCTGCTCAGGGGAACCCTCAGTCTGGCCCCATGGCCTAGCCACAGTAAAAACCAAAGCCACACACCCGTTCATCCTTGCCGCTCACACCCCCTCACACCTCCTCCTGTGTTCGAGTCATAAATCTTTTCCTTTGATCTTGGTATGTGCGTGATCTGTCCCAACATCCAAACCAATATGGGATGAGAGTTGATTTCCCCCTCCATGAGGTGTCAGGGTGTAAGGAGAAGGTGCAGTTTGAAACACGGTGCTTACGGATCAAGTGAAATTTCAAGAAAGACCTAAAGGTGTAGAATATTATAATATTCTCACTTATTCAGCACTTATGCATTCAGCACCTACTGTGTGTGAGGATTTTAGCCCTAGGGGCTAAGAAATATGGCAGTGAACAAAATAGGCAAAGAGCCTTGCCCCCCTGGAACTGAAGTTCTAGCAGGAGGTAGAAAGTTAAAGAATAAAAAGAGAGAGCGAGAGAAAGATGAAAATAATTTCAGAGAATCCTGGTGTTGTGAACATAGTGAGGCCAGCTGATGGGGGCTGCGGTAGCTGGGTGTTCAGGGAGGCCTCAGGGGGAGATAGCCAGACAGAGCTCACAGGGCAGCATGTTCTGGGCAGAGGGACCAGCAAATGCAAATGGCCAGGGGCCAGGTGAATCTGGTGGATTCAGAGGCCCAGTGGTGGCTGCCGGGTGTGTGTGTGTGTGTGTGTGTGTGTGTGTGTGTGTGTGTGTTGGGGGTGAGGCAGCAAGAGAGCTAGTGATGGACAGGCAGCCCTGGGATGAAGAAGCCCTGCAAGTCCCATAAAGCATTTCGGTATCTAAATGCCCTGGGAAGTCCTTGGAGGCTTTGAAGCATGGGAATGATGTGATGGGTTTTACCTTTTAAAAAAGATTCTTCCTGGGGCACCTGGGTGGCTCAGATGGTTAAGCGTCTGCCTTCGGCTCAGGTCAGGATCCCAGGGTCCTGGGATCGAGCCCCGCATCGGCTCCCTGCTTAGCGGGGGGCCTGCTTCTCCCCTTCCCTCTACTTCTCCCCCTGCTCATATTCTCTCTCTCTCTCTCTGTATCTCTGTATCTCGAACGAATAAATTAAAAAAAAACTTAAAAAAAAAAAAGATTCTTCCTGTTCTGGGAAGAATTGGGGAAAGTGGGGGTGGGGGTGGGGGAGACCCTTACGAGGTGGAGGTCAGAGTCCTGGGCTGGGTTACCAGGAAGTGTGGAATCAGGGAGACCAGTAAGAGGCTATTGCCAATCCAGTCCTCTCCTGCTTTATTTCCTTTACAGTACTTAGTCAAACATAATAGATATGGTCATACATATATAATTAGTAATTATTAATTAATGCTATCTAACACATATATGTTAGGTAAAAATCATGTACAGTGAAATGCCCAAATCTTGATTTCACATTAAAATCAGTGAATTTAAAACCCATGCAAACACCCTCATAACCACCACCCAGAACAAGATATTTCCAGCACCCCACAAGGCTCCCTTATACTCACTGCCAGTCACTAGGTCCCAAAGGTAACACCCTCCAGACCTCTTTTGTTGTAGATTGGTTTTGCTTGTTTTTGAACTTCATATAATGGAATCACACAGTATTTTTTGTTTATGGTTTCCTTCGCTCAATGTTTTGTCTGTGACACCCTATCTATTTCACTTTTTTATTATCTGTCTTCTCCCCTAGAGCTGCGCGTGCCTTCGTCCAATAGCGTAGTTACGAGTCCCACGAGTTACTTAAGTCACAATTAATTAAAATTAAGGAAAATTGAAAATTCAGCTCCTCAGTCCCCTTCGCCCCATTTCAAGTGCTCATTAGCCATATGTGGCCAGTGATTACCAAATTGGAACATGCAGAAAAAAGCACATTTTTGTCATTGCCAAAAGTTCTATGGGCCAGCTGCTCTGGAATGTCAGCTTCAGGAGGGCAGAACATGGCATTTCTGGGCGTTTCTGTTTGTTTCGTTCTCCGCTGTATTCCCAGTGCCCGAAACGCTGCCTGGACACAGTAGGTGCTCAGTACTGAATACTTGTTGAATGACTACAGAGTTTGTCTGACAGATGACGGTGGCAGTGAGAGATCGTGTAATGTCCTAAGCCCCAGCACTGGGGATCACTGATGTGTGTGTGTGCTGGAGGAGGGAGCCTGTAGGTGACAGGCGAGCT